AAATTCCCAAATTTCCCAAAATTCCAATCCCAAACTTCCCAAAAAAACCCAAAATCCGAAATTCCAACCCCCAAAATCCCAAATTTTCCCCCAAATCCCCCCAAAATTCCCAAATTTCCAACCCCAAACTTCCCAAAAATCCCCAAAATCCCAAATTCCAGCCCCAAACTTCCCAAAAATCCCAAGTTTCCCAAAATTCCCGAATTTCCAATCCCAAACTTCCCAAAAAAAACCCCAAAAATCCCAAATTTCCAGCCCCAAATTTCCCAAAATTCCCAAATTTTCCATCCCAAACTTCCCAAAAAACCCCCAAAAATCCCAATTTTCCCCCAAACCCCCCCAATTCCCAACCCCCCCTCGGCCCCTCCCGCATTCCCAAACCCCTCCAGGGAATTCCCAACATTCCCAGAATTCCCGGAATTCCCGGAATTCCCGGAATTTCACCTCGGTTGGGCTCAGGTGCTTCGTTCCCACGTAGGTGGCCCCGAAATGATAATTGGACTCGCCCAAAGTGCTCAGGGCAACCGTGTGGTTCACCTGGAAAAGCGGGAAAATCCCGGAATTCCCAAAATTCCGGATGGAAACGGTGAAAAATTCCCAAATCCCGAAAAAAATCCCGGAAAAATCCGCCCAGGAACGCAAAAAAAACGCCCCAAAAACGCCCAAAACCGCCCCAAAAATGGTCCTGGAAAGGGTTAATGGATCCCAAATCCACCTGGAAAAGCGGGAAAATCCCGGAATTCCCAAAATTCCGGATGGAAACGGTGAAAAATTCCCAAATCCCGAAAAAAATCCCGGAAAAATCCGCCCAGGAACGCAAAAAAAACGCCCCAAAAACGCCCAAAAACGCCCCAAAAATGGTCCTGGAAAGGGTTAATGGATCCCAAATCCACCTGGAAAAGCGGGAAAATCCCGGAATTCCCAAAATTCCGACTGGGAACGGTGAAAAATTCCCAAATCCCGAAAAAAATCCCGGAAAAATCCGCCCAGGAACGCAAAAAAAAGCCCCAAAAACGCCCAAAAATGACCCAAAAATGGTCCTGGAAAGGGTTAATGGATCCCAAATCCACCTGGAAAAGCGGGAAAATCCCGGAATTCCCAAAATTCCGACTGGGAACGGTGAAAAATTCCCAAATCCCGAAAAAAATCCCGGAAAAATCCGCCCAGGAA